CATCCTATTCTGAACCTAATCTTTTTCATAAGTTCCCTCTTTCATTATCAAACTCCAAAATCACATACAATTGTTCCTCTGATTCTTCTTCTTCAAATTCATCTTCAATTTCTTCTTTTTCCATGTCTTCATTACCCAGGTCCCTTATTTTTACAACTCGTTCTTTGTCTAATAGCACCTTAGATAATCTTTGATACTCAACTGGGACAACTATTTCTTTATTTTCTCAGACCAGAATCATTTCCGACCTATTCTAATCGATAGCTGCATTAACTAGTCATTTCCTATAATAGCACAATATAAATTAGTATTGGTTACAACTACATCAATCAGAATTTCGATACCGCCGATATTGAATAGGAAATCAGAGATTTCTCCACTAGCACACTTGCTTTCACCATGGATATTAACTATATTTACTACTGATGGCCATTCAATTCTTATACCAAGATCATTTAATAAGTAGAAAGTAACAACACTTCCAGAAGACCGCTATCAACAATCAACAGAATTACTCGGTCATAAACCTTGGTGTCGCAATATAAGGCCGTCAATTTTAAAGTAGGTTGTATATTAATATTAGCCTGAACCTTCTTATGACTTATGACTCTTTTCTTTTGTAATGATCATGCTAATTCCTGTCTATAGATGTAGTGATTTGTAATAATTGTTTGATAGTTATATTGGTGGGCTTATCTCTTATATCAGCTACTATCGAGTATAGAGGTAAATCATTTTCCACAATATTTCTTCGTTGAATAATAGAAACCTTCTTTTAAATCACTTTTACATCTTCTTTCTTTTTATTCACTTTAGGCAGTTCAATCTTACTTGCTTCAAGGGGTTTAGCTGATTCATTCTTCTCTTGATTTTGAACAACTGGATCATGTGACTCCAAATTTTCTTGATCTTTGTGAACTTCTTCCATTTCTATATCAGGATCTTTATTACCCTTTGCTTCTTCAAAGTCAATTAAATTGGTCATTTTTAGTTCAGTCGGCTTCTTTCTAGAATCAGTGTATTCACTATAGGCTTTAGGTGAATTGGTCTATCAGCCAGAAAAAATAATGATTCATTATTGGGAATTCCTAAATACAAAACTTGATTCTCCATATTATTAAAGAGGCCTGGATTATTATTCATTAATACTAATAATGCTTGAAGAGTTTCTTGAGGATTGTTCCTATTAATAGTAGAATTATTATTATTAACACCTTGATTATTATTAGTTACGGGTGGCTGATTATTAACTGGAGGATTATTACAATTATTTGGCGAATCAGAACAATTTCGACTATAGTATCCAGTATGACCACAAGTAAAGTATGTTACTGTGGATCAAGCAAAATTTCCAGATTAAGGTCGAGATGGTGGCCTTCATTGATCTTGAAGTTGGTTCATGAGTTTATTGATCGAATTCGTTAAACTCTTCAAGGCCTTTGCCATTTCATTCGAACTAGCAAAATTAAGGTTTGGAATATCAGAAAAACTATAGGAAGAATGAAAAACTGTTAGAGTTGATAAGCAGTTTGAATAGAATTCTGCTTATAAGCATTCTTGAATGCCTTTGCTCTAGAGTATGCTTCTTTCAACATATTAGGGGTAAGAGAAGACATAGCCACAAATAATTCAGGACAAAATCCATTAATAAACATCTGGGCTTTAGCCATGTTCAGGTACTGGTGACCTCCTGACTCTACTCGTCAAAGCATTTCTTCAATAGCTATATGATATTTGTCTACACTTTCACCTGGCAACTGTTTCCTTTGTGTGAACCATTTTCCTTCCAGTTCAGGTGTTCTAAACTTATTAATGAAATGGGTAGTGAAACTTTGTTGAGGTACCAAAGGATCACGCTATCGATCAATTATAGAGTACTGGTTTCTTCTTGTAACCCACCAAGTCGCAGCAGGGCCTTTGAGCATGGGAACAATCACAGCAATTTTTTGGAGTGGTGATATAAGATTAGCCTCGAAAGCTTTATCAACATCTTCAAGCCAAGTTATAGGATCTTGGTCTCCTCCATGAAATTCGGGATAAGGTATAGTGTTAAGTTCCCAAGGATTAACAGGAACATTAACTTGCGGGGGTGGCGCGGTTTGCATCTGCTGAACCAAAGTGATGATTTGGTTAGCTAAATTATGTAAAGGGTTATTCGGGTTCAATTGAGCTTGCTGTTGGGGTTGTTGGTTAATAGAAATTTCTAATTTGAATCTATAACTTCTTTAACACGAGTATCTTTTTTAATCCACACAACTGGCACCAAATGTTACTATTGTTTTGGGAGAGCTTTTAGAACTATCGGCATAATTTAACTCCAATAGTTATATGTTCTTTGTGTAGAACTCAGAGTAATATAATAACAAATAAAGTCGGTTATAGTAATAACTTAAGCACGTGAGATTATGTAATTGATCCGAGATCGGGCACTTAATTATATCTACCGGTAATCAATCAAGTAAATAAATCAAGTTATGTAATCTTAATTAAATAAATCAGTAATATCGATATTAAGGGTCGATACTTATAAGGTAACAGGGTAATAAGGTAATAACAAAAGGGTATAATACAATCGTGAAGCACCTTCACGGTTAAGATAAGGGAACAATTGTATGTGATTTTGGAGTTTGATAATGAAAGAGGGAACTTATGAAAAAGATTAGGTTCAGAATAGGATG